AAGAAACAATGAATGAAAAGGAGCAGAAAGTAGCGTAAACTTACAATATCTGCCCTGAAGAGTACCCAAGCGTTTTACCAAAGTAAGAGTATCAATCAATCAATTAATCCATCAAGTAAATGTGTATTGCAGATTTCAGCAGAGTTCAAAGTGCTTAACATCATTAAACCATAAAAAGAGAAAGTACCAAAAACAACATAAAGTCACTAGTTTGAGAACAAACATTACATTTTGTTGAGCGTCATCATCAAAAACATTAATACACATTATGTATGTTGGTCCATTAATTATGGTTCAAATTATGTTTCAAAGGCAACTCTACTACTACTACAACTACTTCAACATTTTGTACTTAAGCAAAAATTAAAATTACTCAAGTAAGAGTAAAAAGGTATTTGGTAAAGAGTCTACTCGAATGCTACAAGTAACAGATCAAAAACATTGCTTAATAATTAAAAATTACATCATCAGTTAAACCAAAATCTAGGGTTATGTGGAAATATTGGTATTGTAAAGACCAAAATTGGAATCATTTATATAAATAACAAATTCAAAATAAGAAAATAAGTCAAAAATTATTTTTTTTTCAAAATTAATTTCTTTCAGATAAGATTTTAAATTTTTTAACAAAACAAACTGCAGTTGTGTGTCTTTGTCTGGTGAATATTTGGATGAATCAAGCTTGTTCTTCTTCCAGTCAAGTTACTTACAATGGATAAAGTATCCAGAAATTCATACCAAATTTATTCAAGTAAAATTAAAAAGTGCAGCGTAGGAAACATTGGATACAAACATACGCGCAGATGACATTGTCTGTTCTAATCCTCTTTTGATATGAGATGGGATAAATAAAGCTATTTGGCTGCTGAACATGTTTTAACCTCTAAGCCAACGGTGCTATAATGAGGTTGAAGGGCTTATTCATGTTTGCGTGCACCTTAGAGACTTGAGGTTCTTGTGCAACCCTCTCACAGAGACCCACATGGGGCTTTAGCATAAATAAAGAACAGACTTTTCCCAGTCAGCTTGTCACAATCGGTCTTGTTCAGTGAAACAAAGTAAATGTGGGTTATTCCTCTCAGCTGTGAATCATTTTGTGGGTGCGATGGCCAGGTTGCAGCCAGACAAATCCTGGTTTCTGGTCCCTAATATGCAACAGATTCATGCATAATGAATGAAGGAGAGAAAAGGGGGATTTTTGTGGTAATCTCAGTCCATCCACGTCCACACAACTAGTCAGTGCATTCCTGTGTCAGCAGGCTGCAGCAGAATTTTGCATGCTGCCAATGTCGCTTCTGCAGGAATGTATGCATCTCTTTTTATCTCTCATTGGCTCCATTACTTCTTTTTTTTTCGCTCTCCAACATTCATTACAATTCTGTGAATACAATTCCTGTCTTTAATATCATTCTCTACATTCTGCTTCCCTTCAGCCTGCCTCTGTTTATTTATTCGCTGGCAGGCTCACTCTTCATTAATCTAATGCAGTTTACCCCACACTCATTCAACTCTGCTTCAACAATCCTGTAGTGCAAATCTGCCACTGACTTTTCATCTGGCCAAACTGTCACTCACCATGATACCATTAAAAGAAAGAGAAAAAATGCAATATCTGTCTCCCTTTTTAACATAAAAAGCAGAAATCCTGCAAATGTCTCCTCCGCCACCATATCTCCATCCTCCTCATTTTTCTGTCCGTTGGTTCATGCAGACTTCCTCCTCTCTACCTTTTATTTGCTCTCTCGCTCAGTTAATGAAGGGAGAATTGAGGTCAACGTCAATCCTTCCTTCTGGTTGTTAACCGGCTAACCGCACTCTAAAATGTCTTTAAATCTTCCTTGCCAGACTCACTTTGGGCGGCATTGGTTGATGGTTCTCTCCGTGGAAGTGATGTTGACAGTTTTCAAACTGCGTGCAGCATTTAAAATGGCAGAACTATTGTTATTAAACCATTTATTTTCCCCACCATGTATCCTGTCCATGTGATTTTGAATCAGGCTCCTTGCAGCACTTATGTTTCCTGTGTTTTGCATTGGGAAAGCTCTTTACCTGTGGGTACCTGTGTTATTTTAAAAGTGCATCGTAATGTGTGTGAATACTTTATGCGCACGCTGAACATCGCCCTGGGTTATTAATAACCTAATCCAGTTTGCTGCGCCCTTGGCTGCTTTCTGCACTCTAGTGCAAACTGTAAAATACAGGTTCCTAAATCACAATGGTGGCCTTTTAATTTATTGCTCTGTGAGCACTCAGTGATGCACACGTTGAGCCAATGAAACAGAGAAACACACAAGGGTCCTTTTTTATTACAGCCCTCTGCTTTACTTAATGCATTAAGTTTAACATTTTTTCAGTTGGATTAAATGCAAATTTGAGCTTCTGATGTTCTTATGTTGGAAAAAAATACTTTCCTATGACGGAGGCTTACATCAGAAATGTCATAACTTGAGTAAACATGCAGTTCACTGAGGTTCAGTTTGGACAACTAGGTATATGTTCTATATTGAAATTTGTACTTAATGTTACAGCAATGTTACTCAGCTATTATATATTAATTTATTTGTTTCGGTTTCCTTAACTGTTATTACACACTAGTAGAAAGACTGGATTGTTATCTGCCTGGAGCTCTTATCTCTCCAGTGGTCAATAATATGATCTCATGTTTATTCATGTCTGTGTATTTGTAGTTTTCTGGTTTATTCATTACTGGGGATTCAGTTGCTTTCTTGCTATTTCTCCGAAACTTTTCTTTTGGGTAATTATTCTTTGGCTTTTCATAGACTACATGTTTTATTTATGTCACAATGTTTTGATCTTTGTCTTATACCAACATAAAAAAAATGCAGAAATTGTATTTCAGAAAAACAGAAAAGTAAGTTGTTAGAAGAAAAGGTGAATTTCAAGTTTGAAAATAAATATGCTGTATTTCTGAGTGAAATTAATTTATATTAGATTGAAATCAGATATAAATGTATTCATTGCTAATAATCCATCTGTCCATCTTCTTCCAAGAAAAGAATACCTCAGATCATAATACTGCCATTACCATACTTGCCTTTAGATGTAGATTTATTTTGTGTTTGTGCAGTTTTGTTTGGGAGCTGTGGCAATGCAGCTCCAAAAGATCTTTTATTTGATCAAATAAAATTCTCCCATAAGGTTTTTAGATTGATGTTTCTTTGAAAGGAAATTATTTTGTATTTTTTGAAATTGTGTTCCAGATTCATAGAGAATACAAGAGATTGTCATCACAAGTGAAACACAACTCCTTCTTGTAGCTCTCAGCCATTTTTCTGCCTTTTCGAAAAATGGCTTCGTCTTTTCAGCACTTTCAGTTCATCAGCAAGTTTTTGAAATTATTACACATCTTTATTCCTCAAAGAACAAAGATGTGTTTGTCATATATAAAAATGTGTACCTCTCTTCAGACTTACACAGTTGAGCAGTTAGGTCTTTCTAACTGTTTCCTTCCAAACTGTAGATAAAGCTAAAATAGGCGTATAATAAGCAAATGCCATTAAAATAATTAACTTAACTTCATCTTTGGTCCATTTCTGGTTCCACCTTTCCTTCTGCAGTGGCTCTTTTGGAGGAACATTCATTCACTATTAGATTTCTGGCTAAGGCGACTCCAAGTTGAATCCTCTGTTTGAAAGAATCTATTTCTGATCTTATGCTCTTAAGTTGAGTTTGACGTTGACGTATGAAGCAGACAAGGCTTTATTTCTGCTTTGATGTATCCCAAAGAGGTTCACATTATGCAGCTCCTTTTATGTTATGTGAGCGGTCATAGAAAAGTCAGATTATAATAAACCACTTGTCTACCAAGTCTGAAGAACTTCAGTGTTTAATTTTGATAAATAAGTGTAAATATCATAAGTGTGTTTCGAAATCATGTTAAACATATGAACACATAGGTGGTTTGGCACAGAAAATCTAATTTCTCTCTTGTTTGCACCTCAACTTAATTTCAATAAATCAATAAGAATATTGATTTACATGTGATCAATATCAGTAGATAATACAACTGATAGAATATTTAATATATAAAATATTCACTGAACCGTTGAGTAACTGACGCAGCAACAGTTTCAGGTTTTGCCACCATGCCTCATAACTGCTTAAAACAAAAAAAAAACATTGGCATGGAGTGAAAACTGTGAAAGGCAGTTTGGCAGGATTTTAGTTATTTAAGACAAAGTCCAAATAAATAATTATCAATATGAAACACTAACACTGTGATGCATTTTTACAGCCTCAGTCCAACAATGCATTAATTTATGGTAATCTTAATGGATCAAACTAGGAATTATTTATTCTGGTTTTAATGTTAGACTGTGAAAAACATTGCTATAGTTTGTATAAATACCTGGTTTCAGTTAAATAATATGCGTCTGATGAATGCACCTGCGATGAGAGTGATAGTTTGGGGTCAAGCATAAAACATACAGGGCAGTGTGAAATCACTCACAGTAGACTTTAGTGCCAGATCACCAACAAACATGGACAGAAGTGTGAGGGCGTAATTTACAGATGTTGCATAAGAATTGCATAAAACTTGTTGCTTTAAACTCATGGTGCATGGGGTTTTGTTCCACTAAAGAGCTGTGGAGACTGAAACTCCTACAACCAAACACTTTCTACTACACAGCTGGTGCTATTGGGCTTCTTATGAAGAGTGGGCAGTACGATAAAAGCCCAGAGGGAGACTAGAAATAGGAGAGCGTAGGAGACCAGCTCCAACAATAGCCATCGCTGTACAGATGTATTCACCATGAAGTAAGAATGAGATTCATTCTTTGAGTCTAATGCAGCAAATGACCTGTGTAATGTGCATTGTCTATTGGGAAATGGCCTCTGCTACAGACTGAGTAACAAGTTTCTCATCTTCCTGACAGGAAGTACAAGGTCAAATGACTGCATTATCATCACACAAGCAGGGAAAGATTTTTTTTAACACTTTGATACTAAAGAGGTTTTTTGTTTTCTCTCTCGTTCAGCTGACGTACCTGCCTCCACCGTGGGGCGACTGCAAGTCCACGGCGATGGACTCTGACTTCTTCAGCAGTTACAGCATCACTGCCTGCAGAATTGACTGCGAAACGCGATACTTGGTCGAGAACTGCAATTGCAGGATGGTTCACATGCCTGGTATCTTTCACACACACACACTGCATTCATCAAGCAGAAAAATGTCGGTGGTTGTTGTTTGTAAACTTATTGTAAAAGTGTCCATGTGAAGTGGTGGTGACAGTTTTACTCGAGGAACCAACACATTCCTGGCAGCGGTCTTAGAAAATCACATACTTTCACACTCTAGTGGATCGGAAAACTCGACCATTTTCCTTTTGTGTTTGTGCAGTGATTAAAGCTGGCATTTGCTGTCTACCTCTTACATTTAATCACAGTGTGAGATCTCACATGGCAAATTGAAAAGGGGGTTTTGGCACAGAGGAAACATTTGGATTGGGACTCTGTTAAGTCTCAGTCACCTGCCTCCCGTCTAACATCTCTGTTGTCAGTCACAGAGCAACCCGACAATCTGCCTGTCTGATCATCAGGATCATATGCTGCCTTCATGTGTGTTTGAATATCCTGAGTTCACAGGGAGCTAGATAAGAATCCTCCACCCCACGTTTTTTACTCTAGTCCTGATCGTCCTTCAATCTTCCTGTCAGATGTGTACATTATAAGGAAAAACTCCAAGAATTATTGCCAATAGCAGGGAAGTAATTTCCTGTTGGTCCACGGCACCATGGCAGGTTTTTATTCAGTGTTGTTTTGATGGATTGAAATGAATGGCTGGATTTCCAGAATGACATAAAATGGAACAATGTTGACAGAAACTTTAAGCAGTGATAAATGACATCAGTTAGGAGACCAGATACATTTTATGACAATATCCAGTTGTGGAAAATAAAAGTAATGACTCAAAGCAAATGTTTAACCCAGTTTTAAAAGCTTTTCTTCTTTTCTTCACCCTGTTGCTGCTTTTTTTCCTTGCCTGTCCTTAGGAGATGCCCCGTACTGCACCCCGGAGCAGTACAAGGAGTGTGCAGATCCTGCCTTGGGTAAGAAGATAAACCAGCATGATAAGTGTATATATGAATCCCGCTGTTCAGAGCTCTTGATCTGAGCTGATAACAGATAATAGTGTTCCTTCAGCATGATGGTACCACTGAAGCTTTCCTTTTCTGCCTCGCCACCAGCTAAAACCTCTCAGGCCTTTCATGTCTGCTGCTTGTTTTCTTACAGACTTGCAATCTCACACATATTTTTTATATTCTTATAAAGGTCTCAGAGGTCGCCTCTACTTTGACGCCTCTCACTCAGCTGGCATTTTGTTTGTCACGCTGGAATGACAATGAATTAATCCGTCCCTGTCGTCTCTTTTTGGATCTCTGTCTGTTTGGCCTTCCTCTTCTCTCTCCATCTGTCGCCATCATTTTTTTTATTTTATTTTTTTTAGATTTCCTTGTTGAGAAAGACAATGATTACTGTGTGTGTGAGACCCCATGCAATATGACTCGGTATGGCAAAGAGCTGTCCTTTGTGAAGATACCCAGCAAGGCATCGGCTAAGTACCTCGCCAAGAAATTCAACAAGACAGAACAGTACATTGCGTAAGTATGCTTTTTTTTATTATTCGTTGTGATGTTTATCCTGTTTGCCTCACTATCATTTTGATTATGTTCACGGCAATTTTATCCTGCAGTCTGAGAGGCTGCTTTACTTGAAGCAGCTAAAAATTGATCTTAGATGAGTTTTAAAATGCATTTAACGTCTCTGGAGTATTCAATATCACAATTTAATGACTCTTTTGAGAAGTTTGATGTCATGTCTAGTTTCATTAAGTGTTTCGGTTCCATCAACTAAAGGTGTAAAGTTGAATAAAAAAAGGGTTGAGCAATAAATCTGCAAAAATATACGTCACAATAAATACATGATCAATATCAATAGAAAATATGCCCAGTAAAATGTTCAATGATTAAAGTGAACCACATTCAGTGTCACTGCCGTGTGTCACTGCCGTGCCTCAGAACTGCTTAAAAATAAGAAGAGAGTGGGGTAGAAAAAGAGTTTTCTGTTATAAAACAAGAAATGTCATCACTTTGGCAGAATTTAAGATATTTAAAACAAAAACACTAATAAATAATGATCAATATTGACTGACATGATACATATTTTAGTCATGTCATCAAGCCCTGTACATGTGATTACCCTGCTTTACTCTGATACGATTAATAAAATCATTGACCTTTAAGAGGTCATGAACAATGAAATCTCTGAACATCCTTCAGTGAGTTCATATTTTCTTTGGCAGACGTTTTGTGTAGCTCAGACTTTGATTCTCTTTTAATCTGACTGTAAAAGATTTGCTTCCAGCTCGGCTTGCTTCAGTTATCAGCGCCTTATCGTTCTGGTGCTCCTGGATCTCACAGTAGCTTTCGATTCGTTTAAAACACTTTGTTGGTATCCACAGTACTGAGTTGGCTTACTTCCTATCTGACAGACAGAACATTCTGTGTCATGATCAATAATTTATTCTCCTCCATCAATCCTCTCTTTGTGGAGTGCCACAAGGCTGTATTCTTGGTCCCCTTCTCTTTTCCCTTTATAAAATCCTTAGGTTAATCTTGGATCAGGAGTGTAAATTGACTCAGAGAAGGATATTAACATGTTTAGACTCCACATGATGTCCCTCTGTCTTCCCTAAGGCGACTTTAACTTGTCTAAAACGCGGCTGCCTGTCTTTTGACCAACCCCTCTAGATGTGAACATATCAACCCAGTTTTATCCTCTTTGCATTGGCTTTCTTTCCATTTTAGAATTGACTTTAAAATTTTACAATGCAGCATTTACGCTGATTGAAAACATCTGAGTTTCTTCTTCATCTCTATATAAAAGTCTGAGGTGCTTTTGTTGCACAGAGGGAAAATTGGATCTTTCTCTCACCTCACTCGACCTCCTGGTTTTGGTTTGCAGGCTTTGTTTGCTTGACTGGTTTAGTCTTGTTTGGTTAATTCAACTTCGTTTTTCACAGGATTGATTAAAATAAAGGAGTAGATATTATGTCCTCATGGCCTTTTCCTTTTTTGTCACAATCACTGAACCAGGTTGTGATATTGTTTTTAAAGCTCATAATCGTCTTGCACCATTTTATTTGTCTGAACTTTTAAGTTTTTATGCACAAGGGAGATTCCTGAGATAATTAAATAGCCTTTTATTAGATTTCCTATAAACAAGGCTAACAAAGTCCTCTGATCCTTAAGTCTCAGATGACCACTTATTTCTTGAGACTTACTTTCTACACTATGTGACATAGTGGCATTTTCCCTTATTTCTATTGTTAATTTTACTGGGTTTTTTTCTTTTTGTGTTAGTTTTTTATAATTAGTTCTCTTAATTATTGTTAAGTGCCCAATAAATAAATCAATCATCATTAAACAATGTAAAATGTGTCAAAACGTAAAGACATAAGCCTAAGTTTGGATGCTCATCCAGCAGGATAGTCATACTCGATATTCTCTGAAAAGATTTGACCTCAAAACAAATTATGAAGAACTGAAAGACAGAGAAGGATGCTGTAAGCCTCCAAAAGTGAACAAAAACAATAACTTTGGGTCTCCACCACTGAATATGTTCTGTGAACTGTTAGTAAGTCTCAAAACAATTACCTGCAACTGAAGAGAGCTCACCCACTGAAAAATGATAACATTTGTGATTCCAACATCAAGAAATTATTGAGCAACAAAGGTGTGCATATTGAATATCAACAAACAGCAATCCAACTCTTTCCCAAAGGAGTTGTGTATCTGCAGTTTAATAAAGATTACACAGAACAGGCAGCGTCAGAAAATTGTTTTGGGGATTCACAAGAACAAAATAATGCAAACTGATGTTTCGAGAAAGAAAAGAACAGCATAAAATTCGCTATTAGGACAACACAATGTATAGTATCATTTGTTTTAATGATGTAAAAGGTGTTATTTTTGCACAGTCTCTCAACAAAATGGTTGAATATTAACTTTCTTTTTCTGTACGGCAAAATATGCTTCTTTTGAGGATGATGATTTCCTTAGATTACTTACTTAGGTTGACTTTTTAAAGCTTTAAAGTTTTCCTTTTAATTTTTGAAGTATGAGAAAGAGCTCCAAGTGAGATGATTAGTCAGTCAAGTAGAGAGTGTTTTATTTTCATATAGAATATACCACAAAGATTAAAGGAAAGTTCAAGAAATGAGAAGTGGGTATAGTCGAAGCTGAATCTTTTATTCATCACTCCACGCTGTTGAGGGTTAGATAATTACTGTAGCACATGTTGCCAGAGTGCAACCAGAAAGAGAAAGTTTCTCCAGTCCCAGAGGACGGTTTGTTTAACAAGTGGCCACATTCCCAAGAAATAAACGTTTGTGGAAGGTTTTTTGATATCCAGCCTGCTCTGTGCTTGGTGGTGTGAAACTGAAGAGTGTGAAGTTTGACTGTCGGGAACCTCACAGAGAAGGAGGCTCAGCTAGGCGAAAGCTTTGGTCCGCTGTTTGACAGCAGCTCTGATCAGACGTGGTTCAGGTTACTCGCTGTCAGTGAGGAAGCATCGTTTTTACATCAGGGTGACACCTCACACAGGAGACCTACAGACCAGAGGGAAACAGATGGAAAATACCAGAAAAACTGTCAGAAATAAAACAAAAACCTCAATGATATTCGGCGAGGGATAGGCTGCCTTGTGAGAGTTTGACGTCTGTGGAAGTTTACCGGCCATCAAATATGAAAGCATGATACTAGTTAAAATTATAGTTTTAGGATTTATGTGAATGTAGTGAATAAACCTTTAAAAGCTGAACCTAAATTAATGGAGGAAAAACATGTTTTGTTACATAATAGCACAGCAGTTGGTTCCAACTCTTGTACAGGGCTGCATTTTCTTTAGCACTAATTAAATAGTTTTAATAGGAACCAATGCAATCCAACCCCTGAGGAAAACAAGTGTACTCTGACCCAGACGGCAAAGAAGCTAAAAGGTTTTAGTTCAATTAATGGCATCAAGATTAGCTGAAACGTGGCCTAATTTAAAGTATTACAACACTGCATTCTAATCGTATTACATAAGTAGTCCCAAAAAGATTTGTCTATACAGAGAGGCTCGAATTGCAGTTCATTTTGCAGTTCAAAAAGTTTAACAAGATCTTTTAAACATCTTTAGAAAACTGCAGCACCAAGCCATTGTGACTCTCTAAAGTACAAGAACTTATTGGATTCTGCAAAGATGTGCCCAAAATCCCCCCCGCCACCCCCCTGAAAAGACAATACAAAGTAAAATGCTTTTTTTTTTACATCTAAACTTTAAAATCCTGCAGAACTACAATACCACTATACTACAATTACTAGATGATTGTTAGTTAAAAATAATTGACATTTAAAGATACCTTCACACAGTAAGACCACATGACAGCATTAAAAATCAGCTGGAAGATGGATCAGCTCTTTCAGGGTGCCTGAAGATCCCAGAGTGCTTCCCTTCATTCTCAATAATACCTGAAGATCCCAGAGTGCTTCCCTTCATTCTCAATAATACCTGAGAATTACTTGACTTAGGAGCCCACTCTTCTGTGTTGAGCTTTGGGTTGCATAGGTAGGTCATAGGGAGTCATGAGGGAGCTGTAGTTAGCAGTATTAGGTTGTGTCATGTGGTTAGTTTGGTTGTCAGAAAATTTAAAGGAGAACTGGCCAATGGGCTGCAGAATATTGAGAAAAGATGTAAAATGTGATAATATGGTCAATTCTGTTATATAAATGGTGACTATATCTTTTGGTTTGAGGTTGAAAGCAAATAGACACCAGATAGTATATAAGTTATCCATCTTCTGGAGAAAATAAAATGGAATTTGTAAATCTGATATATATGAAAACAACTGTTTCTGACTGGCATCTTTATGCTGCATTACATTGCAAAGAGCCTGAATACATGGTTCATTCACTAATGAGTTCACACTTATTGCAGATCAGGCAATAAGTAAGTTGCATACAGTCATATTGCAATGCCAATAAATGCGCAATAAATGTTGCATCCCTTACTGGCCTCTCTGGCTGGAGTTTAGATTTTATGGCCCAAGCTGACCTGAAATTCGGGCTGCGTGGAGCCAAAATTTTTTCCTAATGGTTTGGTCAGGCTCGGGCATCTGAGGAACGTTAAATAAGCATACAGTATATCCAGCACAGAGAAAACCGAATGAGAAAGCACAATCTGAGTTGGTTTGATCTGCTTATTATAGTCTAAACCAAGGAGCTGGTAGAAATAAAGGTGCAGAAGTTTTTTCATACTTTAACAAGAACAGTCCATCGCACAATGTGCACATCTCTTCTCTTATCGATCATATATCCCAGATGATTTCCACTTGACACCAACAAGGAACATAAAGGAGGTGGAAGACGTTAAACAAAAACTAAAAACAAGAGAGTTATACTGCTTCCTCAAATTATTGCTTAAAAACAAAAGCAGTAAAATCTTAAGGAAAGATCAAAACTCAAAACGTCCTGTCTTCACATCAAGGCTACAACCTCATCATATCCACTCCTCACCACTAGGGGAGCTGCTGTCCTCATGTGGCAACAAAAAGGTTTCACCAGGCTGCTGAAGTGAACAATATGCAAAAAAATAAACAAAATTAGTAAATAAAATGCATCATTTTGTTTTTCAATGATAATAAATAAAATGAGGTTTATAAGATAAGTACACTTATAAATGTAAGTGTACTTAACTTTATGTACACTTTGTACATAAAGATAAGTATGCTACTTGTTGCTGGGAGACTGAGTGAAGCTGTCTGGACTCCAAGTTAAATTTAAACTGTGTTATCAAAAAGAAACCTTGAATTTGTATTTAGATAAAGAGATGAGAATGAATAAGTGCAAGGAGTTGCCGGATGTGGTAGATAATATAAATATACTATAGTTCCAGCACAGTTAATGAAAAACAGCTTCAGACTGGTGTGATCCATTCAGAGTGTCAAAAAAAACATACTTTAGGGTTGGATTTTGTATGCATATGTTCTTTTGATCACAAGTGCCAACATAAGCTGGCAGACCAAAACTTTAAATTTGTGCTGCATGCTTGGGGGATGCGGTGCATTTTATTCAGAGCCCTACCACATTCATAGGGAAATTTCTCAGATTTTCAGGAGACATTTTAGTGCAGATATAATAACTGTGGCAGTATCATTGTAACAGGATGTGTTAGAAAGCTGCAGGGTGAACTCCAGCTGCCAAATACCATAGAGTGCACCAGGGCCATGCTTGCCTTCACACTGAAATAAGGTTTTTCAAATTCGCCACAAACCAGTGACATTTGACTGGATTTAAAGATCCTGGAGACAGAGGGCTCATTTCTAATATGATGTGAAGGAAAGCCAGTCTCTATTGCACTCAAGAAAATTCTGGGATTCTAAAGCAAAACAAACTATTGCTGTAAAATATATATTTTTATCATTTTGGAATCTTAATCTAACTAAAACAAGAACTCTTCAGCTGTATGTAATGTTAGGCAGTCAGAAAAACTGTTGTTTTGAACATCTTACATAAATATCTAGTTTCAATTATTGGCATGTTTTCAGTGCTTTTCATAGAGTTTGTGCTCTTGATAAATTAACACAATTCAATATAAATATTTGTTGTTTTGCATCTATATCACCATCTTTCTGTTTATTTTTGCAATGTAAAGTCGGCTCTTGGCTTCACTGGATCTTTTCAAAGAAAATCATGTTTTACTTTGCTCAGATTGAATAAAGTAGGATAGTTACTAAAGAATTTTTAAAACCTTCGAAGCGGTTTTGATCTAAAAGTCTTTGGGGTCTGTCTTCCCCCAAGGAGAGGGAACTCAAAGAAGAAAAATATTTCTCTGTTTTGCCTTGGACCCTTAAGCTAATCCCTTTTGATTTTCTTTCCGCTGAAATCAAACAACTGTAATCATTTCCTCTGTACACCACGATGATCAGGCCCACTGAGGGAAAATTAGTTCGCTGTGGCAGGTCATCCGCTCAGCGCGACACATCTGCTTTGGTCTGTGCAGAAATTGAAGTCCGCCATCCTCTTTCTTGCCAGTCCGAGAGAAGTAGCATGTTGATGACTGAATGCCTGCCTTTCACACTTGTACTCTTCCCTTTCTGTTTGCAGTGATAACATTCTGGTTTTGGATATCTACTTTGAGGCACTGAACTATGAAACCATTGAACAAAAGAAAGCCTACGAACTGGCAGGCCTTCTGGGTAAGGAAATGGCTGTCAAGTGTTTTCTTGGGAAAAGATAACATGCAATGTTCCGCCTGACAGACGCCTTTTATCTGACATGAAGGCAGAGCCAATGTATGCATTTTTATAATACGTGTTCAGGTCCCTGGAGATGTAAAAACTGCCTCTTTAATCTATTGTTCGCTTTTCAACTGCAGATTTGCAAACATCTGTATTTTCTGTTGCCTCTCTCGCCATTCAGCTGTACAGATTAAAGCTGGAGCTCATGAATGCAGAGAAATGATTTCCATCTAGTTTAAAGGCTTTCTCACTCTTCTTTTCAGGCGACATCGGAGGTCAGATGGGTCTCTTCATAGGCGCCAGTATCCTCACCGTTCTTGAGCTGTTTGACTACCTGTATGAGGTAAAATAACACCTGCTGTCAGCTCTGACGCTAAACGTGTGCTCTATTAATTAGTTGAATGAACGTTTGATATAAACAAAAAAAGAAGCTATATTTTTTGTTGTTGTTTTTTTTACCACAGGGAAGGCATATTTATAGATGCATGCAAACATTCAAGCTCACTTGATTCAAATCTTAAGTTATAAAAATGGGGGAAAATGTGTATGGTTTCCAGAAGCAAGAAGAGAAAAAGTAACTCTATTCTTGGTTGTTGTTTTTTTTAGGTGATCAAGTACAAGCTGTGCAGATGCATGAAGAAGAAACACAAAGGCCGCAGCAGCAATGATCGGGGTGCTGTGCTGAGTCTGGATGATGTGAAACACCATGTCAGTATAGGCTGCTGCCGAGTACTTTGACTGTGTCAGACCGCATTGCTTTGACAGGAGCGAGCTCCTTTCTTCTTTGTCTCCACTGGCCTCAATTGCCTGCAGTCAGGGTGGTGTTGGTGAGAGAGAGTGAGATAGAGGAAAAGCGATTGAAAGAGGCTAAAAGAGAGAGGCGCAAAGAAAAGAAAAGCAATTGGGATGAGAGGAGAAGACTGAGAGGGAGTCGAAGGAGAGGAGGCTTGGGTTTAATCAAAGCAGCAGGACAGTACCAGCAGGGACAGGCCAGAATTAATGCCTCAGATGCTGTGACAGCTTACTTATATCCAAGTGTAAATGAAACCAGCTCACTTTAATTGTGAGTCAGAGCGCAGGCAGAGAAAAGTGGAAAGGCGCTCCTCCTCTGCTCCTGCCTCACTTAGTAGTCCTCCCTCTCCATCCACCTTCATTATTTTTCCAAGTATTGCTCAGGAATCTATTATCTCGCCTCTCCCGACCCAACCTGTTGCTCTTTTCATTTTTTTCCAAAGACGCCTTCATGATTTTCTCACTTCTGCACATTTATGTTCCCTTTCCTTCAAAGCCAATCATCTTTCTGCTTCATTCTCGCTGCCATTCCAATTTCTCTGTCTTTTTCTCTTCAGGCTCCTTGTGACAACCTGCGTACACCGTCTACATATCCCGGGAACATGCTACCTCACCATCCGGGCCAGGGCAACTTTGAAGACTTCACCTGCTGAGCAGACCTCAGCAAAGCATCACCGTGCGTGTTATGCAACCAAAGCCGACCGTACAGCAACGAACTTTCTGACGCACAGACATTGAAGAGCTGATGCTGATGAACAAAAACAGAGGCATTTTTTTTACATAGAAACTGAGAAAGAAAAATCAATCAATCAAACACGATAAAGGATTTTCATCCAACGGCCAAGTAAAGAGAGAGCCCTGAATATTAAGAAGTATATTTTGATCTTTAGAGAAACATTTCACGCAGCGGTCCAAACTCTTTTGTGTTTTTCCTCTGGAATACTGCCACAACAGATACTGGCGGGGAAGGTTTGCCAACAACAGACTCTCTTACAGGAATAAAGGAAAACAAGAAAAGAAAAAACATCCATGGTTACTGGAAAATGTATAGTAATTTCACCGCAAACAGAAAAGAGCCTCCATGCCTCTATGTGACAGAGAAACAACACTGACCCCCTCCCCCACCTGCTTCTGTGACTATCCTCAAATTGCTTACTCCACTGTACATGTAGCAACACATGGAAAGGTTTGAGAATGTATCTCTGTTCATGCCTGATGGGGAATGGGTGGAAAACGCAACAGCAGCACAGGTGCAACATCTACCATTTGAAAATGTACTGGTGAAAATTTCAGGTCTCATCATCACGGTAATGCATGCTTGTATTTGTCCAGTGCATGTTTTTTTTTTTTTTCATTTTTACTTCTAGTTGATTTTTATGTCTTTATATAATAAACATATATAAATATATAAATATACATTTACATTGTAATTACCAGGTCTGCCTCAGTGATAAGCCGGTAAGAGGAAGATGATTTGTTTCGTATATTTCCGTGTTTTGCTTATGTGTGTGTGTGTGTGTGTGTGTGTGTGTGTGTGTGTGTGTGTGTGTGTGTGTGTGTGTGTGTGTGTGTGTGTGTGTGTGTGTGTGTGTGTGTGTGTGAAGTGTGTGTGTAGGGTGTCAAACATAATGCCCAACCAGACGAGTGTTTAATTGTGCAACTCTCAATTTTTTGTTAACTTTTTCACATGTGCCAGATGAGTTGAAGAATCTTTGCTCATCTTCATTTATGCTTCTACTGACCTCGATGAGAGGTGATTTAAAAAAAAAAAGACAAAAAAGAATTATTTTTTTATTTTGGTTCTCGTCTGAACTTTTTATTCATGAATTACTTGCGGTTCTGTAGGGCTGTTAGGAACTTTCTGTATCTGTGTTCTAGTTGCAAAGTCTTACTGAAGCACAATATCGCAAGTACGTAAAGGTGATATAAAAGAAAACGTACTATTCTTGATATGTCATGTTTTTAAATTTTTGTTTACTTTTCTTTTCATTCTTTCATGTCAAACTTATTTAGTTCCATCTGACTGTCTCAATCCATTCAGGTTTAGAGGCCTGTCTATTTAGTTATTGATGCATAAATAAACTGTAACTATCATTTTTGAAATTTGTCTTGGGAGGATTTCTTCTCAGTAGCAAATTTACTTTCAGAAGCGTTTATATGCTCGAGCGAACAGAGGCAAAATAATGTATTTTTCATCACCAAATAGAGTGAGAACATTCATTTTTAATCACAAGTAGCTCTTGGAAAATCAGATTAAGCGTCATCAGGGGCTACTTCTAATCATGTAATCTGGAGTCTTGGCTTACCCAACACTTTCTTTTAAAATAAGTCAGCATTAAGGGGAAAAAAGCGTTTAAGGGCAGGAATGTGGTACCAAGCAAGATATTGCTTATCTCTATCAACCATTCATTTGAAATGCTGCAAGCCACAATGTTGGTGTTTTTCCAGCTCTTGCTGTTAAAGCGTAATCACACTTTCAGTAGTTAGATGACAAAAGGACGGATGGGAAATATCTTGCACTGCCAGATTAAGTTTGATCAAGACTGTTAATCAACCAGCAGCTCAAAATTCTGGGTGGCATCTCGTGTTTTTTATGGTACATGTAGTGCTGCCAACTGGTGCACATGTAGCAGGGTTATTTTTCCCTTTCTGTGATGCATGACTTTGTGAATATTAGAAACAAAAATTGTGTTTGCTGCTGAGTCTGAGGCGCATCGGTCCACGCAGTGGGTCATCCGAAGAGGAGAGTGGTCGTTTTGCCTTATAATTCTTTCATGATTTCTATTAGCGGAGGTGGCACACATTCAGTGTTGCTCATCAGAAGTGAGAGAACATTCATTTTTTATTAGTTCACACGAGAAGCCTCTGCTGGTAGCCACACAAGCTTAAAACTTCACATAAAGAATCTCTTTTGTCTGTTGAAGACTTGACTGTGTTTAATGTGCGAAACGTGACTTTTCCCCACTAATGGTTTTATGATTTTGTGCTGTACCTGCCGAGAAGACAAATTAATTAAGAAATAAAGAGCGAAGGTGTTCATTTCCTGCTGGCATTTGTGTCTTTGTCCCCGCGACAGCCTGCAGCTCAGAAAATTGTGAGGAGGGTCAGGATACACGAGAGCTGCCTGCCAGTGACAGAAATCCTGCAGAAGATGCTTGCTGCATCCTGATAAGTCTCCACAGGCAAAGCAAGGGGGGAGGTTGTGTAGGAGGTGGTAACACCAGCAGGAGTTCACAGAAACTGAAAATCCTCACAAAAAATTAGGGATTAACATGACTTTTGCTGCTGTCTCTAGGGTCTTAATTGCTCAGTTTCTCATGTTGGCAGATTCAGAAATCCTGGCAACGGCATCGCTCTTCTCTGAATGAGGTTAAATCATTAGGTGCCCTCTTTCCCTCCCTGGCATCACAATCAAAGATGACTGATCCTCCTCTTTTAGCTCTCACCTTGGTGGCTGACATGCAGCCAATCTCAGGATGGTATAACAAGCAGATGCTCCTTTAATGGGATCTGTCCCAAACTGTCTGGCCTTTTTTAAAATGCTGGGACGCCCTCGGATAATCCCTGCAGGCGGCTCCATGCGTGCTCCACAGAGGGGGCTCTCCTTGTGCTGGGAATCTCTGATGTTTGCGATTTTAATAAAATTTGTTTCCCCCATATCTGTTGGTTTAATCTTGGTGTCTGCTGCCACAGAACATGCACTGTTACACAAAGAAGAGGTAATTCCCTCTTAATCCTGTTATCATATTATCAACTTCTCCACAGATATTACACTCCTCATTCTCCATCCCTCTGTGTGGCGAGCCGCCTTTTATCATTTTATTATGAATGCACTCCAAAAGTCAGCAGGTCAGAATGAATCTGCAGGTGTAAGTGCATCTTTTCTTTTTGTTTTCACTCTCTGTGAAACATGCAACTCAATACCGTTGGCAGCAAATCCATGAATCCAATTTTTGCAGTAAGTACAAAATGCTTGTTTTTAAATTATGATTGAATTCATTAGGGAATAAAATCCATCCCAACCCACCTGGCGCAATATGAAAAAGCAATCGCCCACAAACCTAATAACTCTTGCAGCCGCCCTTGGCAGCAACAACTACCATCCAGAGTTTGCAGTAACTGCCAAGGAGAGTTTAACGTCGTTGTGGAGCAATTCTTGGCTCATTCAAAATTGTTTTAATTAAGCCTCATGTTCAGGTTTTCAGAACCTCTTTAAACTCATTCCACAGAATCGGATTAAACCTGAACTCTAACTAGACCACTCCAAAATCTTAACTATGCTTTTATAAGATGTTGATCCATTTCAAAAGCAGACTTGCTGGATTTAGAACATTGTCATGCTGGATAACCCAAGTGCCATGGGGTTTGGCTCATGACCTGATTGTCTGACTCTTCTCAGTCATTAGCAGGACTCCGGAGAACTTGACGATTGACTTGCAAATTATTTACTCTGTACCTTAACTTGGAGATATCCAAAACTTCAAGACTATATTCTGCATGTAGTGGCACTTTTTGTGCCACCAGAGGGCATTCACTTGTTGAGTTAAATGTTTCTGAGTGCACACATAGAGAAGTAAAATAAACCAAAAGAAAAGTTGTTGTGCAATTCATTCAATTCAGTGGCGTTAATCCCAAAGTGAAACTTCATTATGTGAGGCCATAAAAACACCTGAAAATCATTAAAACATTGTAGTGCAACACATCTAAGAACATTATTAAAGGTTTGATGGAGAAATGTTGTGAAGACTGCTGAAAGAGCATGAGCTTCTTAAAGAGACAAAGGACCAATTTTAAGATGTTCAATTTTGAAGTCAAATTTATTTTGACTTTTGACTTTTGACCTTTGTCTATATCAAAGGTTATGTTTGATATAGACACATTTTTATACCAACCAAAAGAAGAACATTTACTTGATTGTATTATAAAATGGCATAATTTGCCTGAAAAATATATAATGCAACCCCTATAAAAAAATTTTTTTCAACCTTTCCAGACAAATATGTGTTTCATCTGTTCTTGAAAATCTTTAAGTTATGACTCTTTGTGAAATCCTTGCCTAATTCCTGTTGTCAGAAAGACTGAAATGGAAATTAACTAAGTTTTAAAATGCAGATTACAGTTTATTGAGGATGTTTTTTAGCGGTATTTGATTACTTTTCCATACAGTTAGGATGGTTTGGGAAGCTTTTCTTCTTAATAAATGACATTACCATTTGGAAAATGCATTTTGTTTATCTGATGAAACATTTGTGTTTGACAGAAAAGTAAAAAAAACAAACAAATTAAATCTATGAGGGAGCAAATACTTTTCCACATTTCAAGATTTATTTTTTACAGATTTAAAAAAAATGTAATACATTATAGTCATGTTATTTTCAGAATCTCTGGTCAAATTCAAATTATTCTCGTCCAAAAATAGTCGCTTTTGACCCCGTAATTCTTCATGTGCTTTATATTTCTGGATCTATACGGTGCTGAAATGAATGTTAGATCGTTCTCTACAGCTTGTTTCCGTCTTCGCAGCCGTCCTCCCGTCCACGTGTCATATCAGTCACGTTTCTGGTGAAAATTTATCCTGTCAGATCTTGCGGTGCAATTAGAAAGCCCAGCCGTTTGTCATTGATAAGGCCGCGGCAGCTCCTCTGGGCTCCACTTTACTTTCAGCTCATTAAGAAGATTAATTATTGTCATGCAGTCAAGTTTGATACCCTTAGAAGATGTTGTATTAGCCTTCGGATTTGGGCCTGACTGATTTGGCTTTCCGTTTGTTTAAAGTGCGAACCCTGCATTCAGCTGTTTGATATTAAACCTGTCGGGAAGCTTATTAAAGATAAGCTCTATCACTCACTTGGAATGAAAAAGCTCATGTAAATACTGGAAGCCCATTAAATGTCATCAGATATTGTTAAGTGCTGAGAGTTTTCAGGATTCAGTTGCAACCTGTTCAAAAAGACACATAACCTTCTTTTCTCCCAGGTTTTGCTCAGTTTTTGCTTCATGTTTGACATCAATCAGATTAAAGTTTGCAAACTGTTGTAATTGTTTCTGGACTCCTGATCTGCTCAGACTTGGTGCTAACTATATATAAACAACTTTAAATGCTCTATCTGCCTCTGCTGTCTGATAAAACAATTAGAAACATGTAGATGATGAAACACATTCAAAGAAGGTCATGTGGTGCCATTCCTCAAATGCCAAATAAACATGGAAGATTTACTCATTTATTAGTCCCTGCTGTGACTAAAGGGAATGTAATGTCTGATTTGTGGGAGAACTCATTAGGAAACATGCAGAGGGAAAATTATGTGACTTTAAGTTCATGTAGGCGATTGCAAAAAAAAAATTAATTAGTGAAAAACCCTGCAGAACCCTCCACCACATTCACTATGTTACCATATTATTATGTTTTCATCTTTTTTCCCTAAGAAGATGTTTCACATTCTGTCAATTGTAGAAGCCGCAATTTAAGATATTCCCAGCCAAACCACCCAGCCTTGTTAGAGCATCTCAGTGGATTCTCAGATCCAGTGGATTGTGAGGAGAGTCTCTGAGGATTGCTTCCAAACCCGGTCGACTAATTGGTTTAACTGTGATAGCAAATATATCAAACTGGAGACTCTGTTGAACCTGAAATAACAGCTTGTTTTAGCTGTTATTTTAGCAGAGCTGAGGAAACACAATGTTGCTTTCCCTGTCTACAGTAAAAATGGTGTTGCTTGTTGGTGCAATTTATTTGGAATAAAAAGACAAACTTCTTATTATACTATAAAAAAGCAAAAATGTTGCACTTTAACTTGTATGTGCTTAACACAAGAGATCTTCAGCGTTGCTCCCGGAGTAAACTTGAGATTATCAAACTCCATGGTGAAAAGCTGCTTGGCTCTTTGTCTAAGTTGTAAATTTCAGACTCTTTGATTACTCTGCACATCAAAGAGTCAAGAGAAGAAGATTGCTAACAAAGTCCAACATAGAATGAAGGAAAGAAACAAGAAAGATGATCTGCAGCAGATGGTTAGTCCTCTGTCGAACTCTGTTTTGAATAACATAAACAGGAATTAGATGCAGGGATTCAGGGTAAGTTTTGGTTTAAATCTTATTACTGGACTTGAAATTAAATAAAGTGACAAATACATCCTTTTTGGGGCATTATTGTGAAAGATTCAGTACTTTTCTTCATGCTTAAAAGTTGCTTCAGTTTTGAAGCTTTTAAATTGTGACTGAGGGGTTTAGATGCTGCTTTTGTTTTGAAGTGATTTGATGTCCTTGGTAGGCAGCTAGCGTCACATTTAATCTATTATTTGCTCCAAGAAAATCTAGACAGAATAGTCCATAAAAATAAATTCAGTTTTGCTTCTATAAACACTTAATATATCTTACAAAATTATGCAAGATACAATTTCCATTTGGTTTTCATACAGGAAAATAGTTCAATATGGCACATTTCTTTCCAGTAGCATCAAATAAACATAGAAATACTACATATACAAGACTATGATTTACACAATTTGTGAATTTTTTATTTTGTTTTAATTGCATAGTATTTCAAATGTTTGTAAATAAAAAGATGTGATGTCATAATGATAGAAATGTTTATCTTATTTTCTACCAGTTTCTCAGTTGATGTGAAAATGGCTTGACCTTAAAAACCTGCATCAAATTGGTGAAAAAGCTCATTAGAGAAAACCCAGAAGAGTGAAAATTGAGAGGATTAGTTAAGCTTTTCACTTCTTGCACGTAGAAAATAACTGCAACAACTCTGTGATTTGACCAGCGGAGAAAAGTCTAATTTCTTTTAAGAGTCATGCCAAGAAATTAATTTTGATTCAACTAGTGTTAAGCACTAATGAACACCTTAGTAATATAAAATCATTACTAATCAGACATGATTTAAACAACCAACATGCTTGATGACTATTTATATAATTAATGTATTAAAATATCAAAAAAATTATTGTTCTTAAGTCCAACATACAGAAATTATTATCATTTCCTCTCTTCATTAAAATTTAATTATTTTCACATAAGATCTTATTTTTCTATTTAAACATGTAATTCAGGTTTCAGTTTTTAACTAGATATTTTTGACACATTATTAAGATGAACCAAATGCAAGTGTTGCAAAAAAGACAGATGAAAATTAAACTTATTGTTTGCTGTAAAGCTCACTCACACCAAAGAGGAGAACTTCCTCTGAAACAAATTGATGCTGTCAAAGACAAAGGATGCATGCATGAATGGACAAATACATAAATACATGCTGAACACAGCTCCTATGCCAATTAACTGTGCCATATCTTCTTGACAATACTGAAGCATCTTTTTAATTGAAGAAGATCAAAAAAGAAATTGGTTATATGTACTACTACATTGTGGTTCACAGTTAGATCTGACGCAGATGGATTGAAAACTATGCCTGCAATAAAAGACATTATTGAAAAGATATTTAAATAGTTTATAAAAACAAAATTAAATGTTCTTTTATGTTACTAAAAAATAAAGGAAGTGTGACTCCTCTATGACGTACAAGAAAGACACTAATTCAAATTTGAACAGTGTGATGTGCGATGTGTAATTTCAGATGAAATATTGCTCTACCAACATACAGAGATTGAAAATTGTACACATAAAACTGTAGTCAAAAATGATGGAGGGCCTCTGACAAGATTTAATTTCAAGTTTCTCCTTTAGATTTAGATTTTGACTGGAACTTTCCAATATATGAATATACTATAATCTAACCCTCTCCATTAAGTTCTGTCTATTTTTCCATCAGCTCTGACCAGCTTCATTGTTTCTATTGAATAAAAACATCCCAACATCATGATGTGGCCCGGCATTCATTTTTTTACAAGAATGGTGTGTTCAGGATAACGCAGCATTTTGCCTATAGGCTAAAGTTGTTTGCTTTGGTCTCATCTGAACAGAGTATTATTTTTCTGATTGCTATGTTCTCTATATAACACATAATAAATGTTCTGTTGACATCTGACCTTTGGATCTCTGCATGTCCTCCAGAGACACCATGAGCATACTGGCCTTTTCACGTAGAATCTGACTGACTTCTTGCCAAGTCAGTCAGATTAGCTGCACAAACCTTACTATAGACTGTTTATTATTTAGATGAATTTCAAAGGCAATTTTTTGCTCATTTTTTTTTTGAAAAGGATGCTTAATTTTTCAGTGTTAAAAGTCATGTGTCATATTTTTACTTCCACTTGACATTTATGCACCACTTTTCTGTTTCTTATATGCAAATCACAATAAAATTACCTGTACACAGAAGTTTGAGAAAAGTGAAAAAATTAAGGGGATGCTGATACTTTTGAAAGGCAGTTTCTCACGCCGTCAGTTTGCCTTTGTGCTGAAAATGAACGGCAGAGGGCGCTGTGTTTTGATAAACACGTCACGCTTCACGGAGGTCTCGCTCTCGCGGTAGCTGCGCTCCAGCACCGGCGGCGATATTCAGGGAGGAGATGGCGGCCAGAGGGGGGTTTCAATCAACACCGACTGCTGGTGGCGGTGGAGCAATGGGACCTGGGCCACCGGTACCAGGCGCAGCGCCAGGTATGGGACCTGGGACTCCCTCTGGAAGAATGGGACCGACATCGGGCGCACAGAACCACATGTACCGCTCTCCGATGCCCGGGCCTGGGTACCCGGTGAGTTATCGCTCCATCAGTCCGCCAGAACAAAGCCGCTCACCGCTGCTTTGTCACAAGTGGCTAACACTATCCTCCGCCACAGTTCAAAGCGAAGTTACCACTACCTAACAGATGGAGTCAGCCGATGACTTATTTTAATCACTCACTTTGAGTTCTGGTCAGAGTTTCCAGTTTGAATTTGTTCCCCTGCAGTTTGCTAACATTAAAGTTAGCTTAGTCCCAACTGGCCCTTAGCTTAGCTTGCTAACGTTGCTAACTGTGCTTCGGTCATTTTTTCCCCATTCTCGCTCAGTATTATTCACAAAGGACTCAAGCAAAATAAAATTTGCCCTAATAGTAAGTTTAACGGTTTAACATTTTTGCTTTGATGAGGCGTGGCTGTGTGAAAAACAGAAGTTTTAAACTCAAAACTACTTTTGAGTTAAAAGCTTCCACTGAAATCAGGACTTTTACAAACTCGATTTCCGATTAGAAAAGTTCAGAAGACGGTCAAACTAGTTGAGTATTTTCTGTTTTTGGTTGATATGCGATACTTTGACGGTGCTACCTGGGGAACATTTTGTATACGTGGATGGGTTTTAGTCTTCGTGAGCTGTAAAATGTCTGTTTATCTCATTAGTTTTTATATAATTATATATAATCATCTCTCCTAAACATCTGCATCACTTTAAACTTGAAAATTACTTTACTTTTTAACTTCTGCATATAATCATGACTGCGCGGATAATCTGTACCATTAAAAGAACATTTAATGGTTGATTAAGAACACTTTTTTAATGAAATGGGTTGCCACTATGTACAACCATCTGGTATTTCCTCATTATCATTAATCCACCAGACATATTTTGAAAACAAAAAACCTTCGTTTATTTTGGACGTTTAGCAGTGCACACAATGTGTTAAAGGAATATTGCATGTTCTGCCAACCTATTATAATATAATGATTGCATTATGCGACATCTGTAGATGCATTACTATTACTATTGTGCCCAAAGCACATTTATATAAAAGTTACCAACTGCAACTGCAGTGTGAACTATTGTATGTTAATTTATTTCTATGTGTAGTTAAGTATTTATAAAAGTTATAGTGTTAATTAAAATCAAATCTGAAGCAGAATTTAATTTAATATTGTGTTGAGAAAATGTTGTTCTACAGCCATTTTCTATTGGTTATGGTTCTGATTCCAGCACTCCGAGGGAGGTGATTTTGTTTTTAGTGTCAACATATCTTAACAGACCACAAGTAGATGATGGAATATTACTTTGAACTTGCTGTTTTTTTAAAGAAGAGACAAGATGTCCTAATGCTTCTATGAATTGACACTGCATTCACAGAGAAAGTCGGGGTTCTCTACTCCAATATTTTTATTTTTTTTTTTGCACTAGTAAAATGTAATTGTAATCAGACTTCTGTTTGAACAGTTCATAATCCGTAGTGACCTGCATATGCAGATGCTTCCATCTGTTGATTAATGTTGAAGTTATTCAGCAATGGGAGCCAACAAGATTGTCAAGATCATAACAAGACTATTATGGATGTGGAGTCGGACCATGGATGGACCACTGGTGGCATCATTGTGTTGTGATGCCTTCACTTACAAAGACTTCTTTCATGAGTTCATAATTATAATTTTCAGCTACTTTTTACGTCCAGATTCACAGCGTTCTTCTGGTGCAGAATTATGATGCGTCTCGCTTCTATGATGTTAAGATCTATTAAAATACGACATGACCGTTCAGACTTTGAATGGTTTGAAAACTGTTGGATATGTCTCTGATTTAGTATCATATGTGGAAGTGACACAAATCAGGTTATGTTTTTCTGTTGGAAAGAAATCACAGTTGCATATTGTCAAAATAAATTTTGCTTGGGGCAAATTTCACTGCATTTGCCTGCTGCTAGAATATCAACATGGTGGTTCAACCACACCTGCATTTTAGTAAAGATGGCATTTCATAAATTTGCATACACTGATTGCATCAACCTCACTGTAATTAAAGCATTTCATAAATGTTTTGTCCAGTGTTAAACTTTACAATTACATACAGTTGGGTGAAAACATATTTTTTACTAGCCCTGTTGCCTAGTAACAAAACTTGAAACCTCATAGCTCATTTTACTTGTTGTTTTTGTTTATTGATTTTTCAAATTTAAAATGTCTTCCAGTTCAAGTGTTGAATCATAACACTTAGAGCTTATTGATCTCTGAGAATGTGTTCTTTTATCATTATTAGCATTATATTCCTTGAAAATCTGAACAAAGCAATATTATTGTTTATGATAATAATCATTCTAGAATGACAATCATTCCAGTCACTGTCCAGCAAAATGTATTATTTTAGAATTTATTGAAAATGATCGTCATACGAATATGACAGACCTACAAAATGTCCTCACTATTTTTAAAAGCTCAGTTGATTAAGAGAAGAGTTGGCTGGTTTTCTTTGTCATTTCACATCATCAGAGTCAGACTGAAACTGAGTAATGGCAAACATGTTTTCTGTAAGCCCATAAAACGTATTGCTTAGTGATCGGCTGTAAATAAGAGGTTAGTGTATTTTTTAATATATGCCCTTCATCTTGTCACTGCACACAGTTTTAAATCAAACTGTCATGGCCACGTTAACTTTTATATGTTCTGGTTTATAGATTTTTCTTTTGCTAGTGGTATTGTGTCTTAATTCAACGCCATATTGCTGCTTGACATGGTGCAAATAGCGATGATTGGGATGATAAATCCTTTGTTGGCGGTTTGCAGAATGCTGTCAGTGTGGAACACAGTTCAGAGAAAAGATGCTGCATCGCTCTCTTTTTTTTTTTTCCTCTAGTGTCCTTGGCTGCTTTCACTCACACAGGCAGCCTTTCACAACACAGTGGGAGAAAAAAAGAGAGGATTCTTGTTCTGAATGCTCCTCATCACTAGTTGTTCTCAGGCAATGCAAGGTCATACTGATGCACAGTGTAAAAAGCACTAAATGAAAGCCATGCAGTCTCCTTCTGCCTACTCATATGCGTTGTGTGGAAAAGGCAGAGCCTATATTGTTGAAGTCGGGCACTTTTCCTCCCTTCCAGCACGGCTTGACGAAGGTGTGTTTTGCTCTCATCTGTCCCATTTGCTGGACTTACTGCTGAAGGAGAAGCTGCAGTCAGCGGCTCGTGGTTTATCTTCTCTCTCCTGCACTCATGCAGTCAAACACAAGAAGTCGTCTGTTTGAGTTTCTAGCACATGGCTTGGTGAGTTGACTGAAGTCGTTACTCTGTATTTGCCTGTCAGGGAGGCATGGGAAGAATTTGCTAGTGTGGTGAAACCTCCACACACATTAAACACATTAAGTACTGTCTCCTTAATGTTCTCTACTACTTTTAGGTTTTACGAATTCTAGAACATTTGCGCTAATATACGAACCATGTAGGTATTTTTAAAGTTTATTGTGCATGCATTTATGTTGTTGCTACGTGAACAACTATGTATGGCATAACAGCATTATTTATTAAAAGGAACTAATAGTGAAACTAAATTGTAATTTTGACACTTGAAATATGCTTTGTGTTCTTTGCAGTTGTAGCAGGAACTTTTGAATGGAAATTTTATTTGTTGTTATTTGCACACATAATTATTTTTTTCATGGGAGAGTTATGCTGATGTGCCAATATTTCCCTAAAAACTAATTTATCCTTTTTGAACTGAAAATGTAATATTTGGGTTTAACATTGTGAAAATATGGCTGCTTAATGTGCTAAAACCAAAACACCTAGATGCTGGAGTCCTAACTAAAATGTTATGATTTTTTTAGGTGATAAATTTGCAGAATCAAATATTGGGGATTAAATTGGAGAAATCTGTTTCTTATTTGTACTGGGAATACACAATATTTGGGGTATAACATCAGATACGATTGATGTTGCTAATGCGCGAATGTTCATCTGTTATAAGTAAAATGGGCTGATATTGATAACTAATGCTTTCGATCTCGCTGCTTTTTCATCTTTAGGGAGACCTTTGTGGTATTGTGTGGTCATGTGGTAGTGCTGCAGTACAGGACTGTTGAGTTTTTAACTGAAACCACTAGAATATCAGTGTTTTTAATGGTGTCAAAACAGCAGAGAAATGTATATTATATTGGTGAATATCGGTTATTAGTCCTTAGAGCTTTAAACTGTTGTGCATAATGGCACATAATAATATTGAATATCAATATTGAATCACATTTTTATATTTACAGACCACTAACTTATACTATCATAACCAAATTTAAGCCCTGGAAATATATATTTTAAATTGCAGATGGGGTGCATCAATAAATTGACTCCCATTTCCTTGACTTTGGTTGATTTGTAGATATTTTCCAGGCAAATATATTGGATTCAGCCAAAATCTGAATTGGTAGTCTCAGGCTTTTTAAAGATCTGTGATCAACCAGAGAACTGGAATTGGTACACCCCAATGGGATTTTTATTTAACATAAAGAGTCCACATGAACTTATTTTCAGTAAAGAAAAGCCTATTATTATAATTTGGTGTTTTTGTCTCATTCATTGCTACATTTGCAAGGCTATTATTTACTGATTGCTGTTGGTACTTCTATTAATAGTTCCATTAAAATCAGCAAATTTGCTTTAGTTATCACTTTGCCTAAGCAAACTAATACTGCAGTGATTCAAAGTGACTCCAACAATTATCTTCTCATGTTTGCCAGGCTGCCGGTAGTTAAGTAAAAAGGGGAACATGAAACATCTGTTGCTGTGTGTTAAAGATTTTAAAAGAAATTGAGTAAACAATGACAGGCAGGATTAAGCAGATGTTTTATGATGACTAAAAGACTTGATATCACACACTTGATGAGAGATAACAGACTGCATGATTTATCAAAATGAACTGAAACCAACAAAACACAAAACTATTGCAAATGCGGCAATTTAGTAGTTTAGCAAACGTTTTGCCAAATACAATTAGAAGAAGATGGAGAAGTAGACAAAAAGGACGACTATTTTGCCTTTTAGTACTGTATTCACCTTGTTTTTATTTTTTATTCTATATTCAGAAAATTACATTTATATACAAAAATGACTATTGTGCATTTTAAATGATCTTTCAGTTTAGTGTTTATGTCCAAAACGTTACAAAACCTCAACACCATCTAGACTTTTTAAACTATTCTATATAACTGACTTGCTTACTTTTGCTAAACTCTTAAGTATTGGGTTGATTTCCATTCAAATTTCAAACATTAATCTTAAAACCATTAATTTTCTTTCTTATTACAAGCTCCTGTGCGTTTACATTGATGTTGTCCACAGTGGGTTTACACTCTCTCTGCTTCTCATCGGCTGTCGACAGCATGTGTTTGTTGGGTCGATAATTAGTTCATATTTACCAACCGCATCCAGATTTTACTCAGAATCTTCAGACATGCTTGATTGACTGCGACTGAGATGAAGTTGAGTCTCTTCCCTTTGCACCACTTAAAGATTGAAATCTTTCCTTTTGTCACAGTGTCAGATTTTTAAGCCAACTAGTCATGGCAGACTGGTGCCTTCTTTACCCAACTGGAAATTGTGGATAAAATCTACAGGAAGAAAAATGTCCTCAGCTTAACTAGACGTTTTCTTTACTACAAGAGACTTTACGTGTCAAGAGAATAGATTACAGGCTGTATAAATCTTGTATCCCCAATTAAATCACTTAATTAAATAAATTTTTTTGTCACATTTAGTGAGTGAGAATAATTTAGCGCCTCACATCCACAACACTTTGCAAAAATGGAGGCTGTTTTTCTACCAGCTGGGGTATACAAATAAAAGTAAGAAATACAACAGGAGTTATTGTTTAACACCTGAAAACCTTCTTTTCATTAATTATTGGTGAAATTCAGCAACATTCTTTAACTATCTGTTTTGTGTTTTGTCTGCAGAGACCGGGCATGCCCCCATCCAGCCGTATGACCCCGCAGGGCCCCGCCATGGGCCCACCGGGTTACGGCAGCAGCCCCGTGTCTCGCCCTGGGATGCCCGGCGTAATGGACCCGTCCCGGAAAAGGCCCGCTCCTCAGCAGATCCAGCAGGTTCAGCAACAGCAGAACCGCAACCAGCAGTGAGTTTCTCTGTTTGTCCCAGATCAGCCGTGCAGGAAGCAGAAAGATCGGTGCCGAGAGCGTAAAAAAAAAAAAAAAAATTTAATTTTTCCAGCAGGGCACATGTCTGTTTCTTACAGTAACTTATTCAACAAGAATTAAAAACTATTATAAAATGAAGGATAAACCAAACTTTTAAAAATGTTATTTGATGGGTAAACAGAAAATCTTCCTCTGATAAAACTGTTGATCAAAACTGCTAAGCAGTTTTTATTTGTTGACTTGTTTAGACCACACAGGAAAGCTGGTGATCAATTGCAAAGCGAATGATCAAAATGCACATTGATCCAACTATTGAGATTTTATATAACACACCTCGAAGTTGTATTTTTAGTCAGTAAGCATAGATGAAGTGGCTTTGTTTAAATTGGAAGGCAGATGGAAAATGCTTGTCTTTCATATGATTAATTTAGTTCGTTTACAGCTGCAGGATTTAAATGGCCGCTGCACATTTTTGATTCAATTCCAGTCTAAATGAGGAATTTAATTATGATGGTAATGTTTGAACTGCTTCTTGTGTGTGTGTGTGTGTGTGTTGTGTGTGTGTGTGTGTGTGTGTGTGTGTGTGTGTGTGTGTGTGTGTGTGTGTGTGTGTGTGTGTGTGTGTGTGTTCTTTATGGTCTCTTTATGATAAGAGATCTCAGATTAAAGAGAACTTAAACTCATATTAATTTTTTTTAATTTGCTTTTTGCAGCACAAAGAAGAAGAAGATGGCTGATAAAATTCTACCTCAGAGGGTGAGTATTTACTTTGTGGAAATTGAATGAATTATGAACTTTTTCAACTGAACTCTTACTTGCCCTACCTTGTTTTTAAAAGGTTTAGTTATAATGTAGGTCAGTACATGGTTAAGATTTTTGACAGTACCATTTAAACATGGTAGTGTACCACACAAGATGCTAGGTTTTTTTGGCATATCAGTTTTTTTTGCAATATTCGCTCAGCTGAAAAGGGTACATTTTAATAAAACAATAAAAAAAAATGGTTCAAATGTTATTTAAAGCTTTTGACTTGATGCTTTGCTAGCCTGGTTTGTCACCCACTGTTCTGTACTTCTGTTCACTTTGAAAATTGTAGTTGTTGTGACATGGTTTGTCTGTCATGTCAGTTTTGGTTCTCCTGAGCAAAAAGTGTTCTGTCTTTTTCTTAGATTCTTAAAATGGATATATCATACTTTTATTGCTTAAAGTTGTTGACAGCATAAAGTGGGACTGCCATGCTTTGGCATCAATCATTATTGAAGCTATTCTGAGGCCCATCTAAGAGCAACTCCTGCTGGTGCTGTCTCTTTAAATACACCCCCTTCTACCATTTTTGTAGTTTAATTTACCATATGTCTAAAGCAAAGTATATTGTCATTTTAGCATTTTTTGCGTCTTGTCGCTTTGCTGCGTCCGTCGTTTCCATAAACAGAAGGAACTGACCCCTTAAACAGAAGAAGGCTTTCAGCAAATACTCCTTAATACCAATGGAAGCTGAAACACTTCACCTTGAAATACTTCATGCAAACAAAGAACTTCAGCAAATCTAATTAGGAATAAAGAAAATTGAACAGATTGAACAAAGTGACCCAAATAGAATATAAATATCTGCGCAATAGTGGGAGAGACTCTTAAACCTTTCTGCACTCCTAGAGACTCCAAGTACACAACAAAATGTACTTAAGTGATTTAAAAAGTCGATTTTGCATGATGTGCTTCCTGTAGGCTTGAAGTGTCAGCCTTGTTTGTTTGGTCCTAGATCAGAGAGCTGGTCCCAGAGTCTCAGGCTTACATGGATCTTCTGGCTTTTGAGAGGAAGCTGGATCAGACCATCATGCGCAAACGGCTCGACATTCAGGAGGCCCTAAAAAGGCCCATAAAGGTATTTTGTCTTAAACTCTTTAGCCTTCTAACTAATCAGTTATTATTCAGTAAATGTCTTTGCTTTCAAGTTGTTTTCATCGCACTGTTTATGCTCCTGTGGGTTTATTTTATGATGATCTCCTTGTGGAAGCTCTTTGGATATGATGTTTATGTAAAGAAAGTGTCGGTGCCATTGTAAAGCTGTCAAACCTGTCTGACAAATAAAGCTCAACACTGACTGTCCTTCCTGTTTGCTTTCTGCTGAGTGTTACACACTTAGTTTTTAATCAGTTAATGTTTTCTTGCATGCTTCTACAGCAAAAGAGAAAGCTCAGAATTTTTATATCCAACACCTTCAATCCTGCGAAGCCTGATGCTGAGGATGGAGAAGGAACAGTTGCATCATGGGAGCTGCGTGTTGAAGGGCGACTATTAGAAGATGTAAACTATTACACTGATGTACACTTTGATTTTATGCATTTAAATTCTCTGTAACAAATGTGTAAATTGCTGTTTCAACCTGTTTGCAGACTGCTGTGTCCAAGTATGAAGCTACCAAACAAAAACGAAAGTTCTCTTCCTTCTTTAAGTCACTTGTGATTGAATTGGATAAAGACCTGTATGGACCAGATAATCACCTTGTGGAAGTACGACGGATTCCTTCATTTACTGATTTACTTGTCTTTGTCATTTTCTTTTTGTTTTATTCTTCCTTATGAGTATTTTTAGAAAAGTAGATTATATGAATGTGAAATCAAGTGTTTTCAGGGTATTCCCACATCCTTAAAAAGTCTTAAGTTCATTTATCTAAAATGAACTTTAGATAAATTATTTGAAATGTCTTAAATTAAATTCCCAGGTCTTAACTATTTGATCTTGAACATTCTATTTATTTATTTTTTCCTCATGAGATTTTTTTTTTTTTTGTCTAGCAAAAACTTGAGTCGCACTCAGACATCTTCATTGCATTCATGACTTGAGACGACTGAAGCTACTGCTAACTAATTGCCGATATAGCCTTGCTTGCTAAGTAGCTAGCATTTTTGCATGAGTGCAAATTTATCACCATTTGCCTGGAAATGTAGGTCTAAATTTCTTTCATAATGCACTTAAAAAGTTTGTGAAACATGCAGAAATCCTGGTCTTGCTACAGTAGGAAATAAATATTGTTAAATATAAGATATCCTAAAATGTTGTGCCATTATCTTAGTGGCACAGGACGGCCACTACCCAGGAGACGGATGGTTTCCAGGTGAAGAGGCCAGGTGATGTGGGAGTTCGCTGCACCGTCCTGCTCATGCTGGATTACCAGGTGTGTTTTTGTTTTGCTGGGGTCATTTAAAGCCCGGTCCATTTTGCTTTAAATGACCTTGTGTTTGATCATTGTTTCAGCCCCCCCAGTTCAAGCTGGACCCCCGACTGGCCCGCATGTTGGGTATCCACACTCAGACCAGACCTGTCATCATCCAGGCTCTGTGGCAGTACGTCAAAACACACAAACTCCAAGATCCGCATGAGCGCGAGTTCATCAACTGTGACAAATACCTCCAGCAAGTGAGTAGATAACTTATTGTCCTACTTAACACTGATTTTAATATGTCCGATAAAACCTGTGTGATCATGATGGGTCTATGCTGTGTCGGAGTGGATCTGGTTCTTGTCTTTTTGTTGTTTACAGTCCGACTATCCCTCTCTGTGTCCTTGTACGGCTGTACTTTTGTTGGTGTCCTTCTGGTTTCCCAGGAATTTCGGCAGAAGTTCTTTGCCAAGACAAACAACCTAAAAAGGATTTATTTTACTTTCCATGCGTGAAATGTATGATGTTTATATAGAATACGTTTTCATTTGTTTCAACTACAACAATGGAGCATAGAGGTGTTGAAAAGAGCCCAGAAATATTTAGAACTCTCATTCCTTTTTCAGAAATAGCAGCAGGGATTACAAGTTTGCTGTCACAGATAAAACTTGCAGAATATTCTTGATGTAAATGAAATACTTTGCTTTGTGTCTGTTGCTTAGTCAATGCTTGATTCAGCCAAACAGCTGTTGGAATCTGAAACTTGTGAATACTTTGAAATAACTGATTTTTTTTTCTTTCCTCTAGATTTTTGAAACGCAGCGAATGAAGTTCTCCGAAATCCCACAGCGCCTGCATGCTCTGCTGATGCCTCCAGAACCAATCATCATCAACCATGTGATCAGGTAATGTTGTAAATAAAAGAGACAGAAGTTTGATGTGAATTTAATGTGTTTTAATGGGTTTAAACAATGACTGTTAAATGTTACATCTGATATTTTTTTGTGATTTTCTGTCTTTTTTTTTTATATCACTTGATTTTTGCATGAGTTTCAACATTTCTCTGTAAGTTTTGTCTATGAAGGCCAGTTTGAGTTCAACCGCCAGACAAATATATCACAGGCATGCGCAGCGTGAAATTACGGGCCTTGAAGTACAATCGCTGACCACAATTACATCCAAACGGTTGTTTGGAACTGTTATTGTGTAAATATTGATGCTGCGCTGACAACCATGTTTGAGTTTATTGTGCAGAAGTAACCTCAGATGTTTCCTGAGGTTGTTTGAATTTGTTTGTCTTGTTAGTGAAACACCTTTTAAAACAAAATGGCAAATCAAAGTAGAAGGATTGGAAGAAAATCCATTTTTATTGTAAGAACTGGTTGGAAAGGGTGAAATCCAGAGTTGATGGGTAATATTTCTCATTAGTGTGGATCCAAATGATCAAAAGAAGACTGCTTGCTATGACATTGATGTGGAGGTGGATGACACGCTGAAGACCCAGATGAACTCATTCCTGCTCTCCACAGCAAGTCAGCAGGAAATAGCAGGATTGGATAACAAGGTGAGAACCTCGAGCCGAGAATCTAGCAGCTTTCTAAGGCGATTCCTACTTTATACTCTGTCTGGGTTTTTTCTGAAGGAATTGTACTGAAGTATTTTCATGTTTTTGCAGATGACATCCAATAGTATTTAGGGTTTTAGTCAGTTTTGAACTACACTGAGCTTCTATTTTTAAAGATTCAGAGTTCGCTCTTTGTTCTTTTTTTTATTATTCCTAAGGCAGATTTCAGTTCATGTGAGTCAAAGTATAAAACAAGTGAAACTAGAGTTACACCAATTGATCAGCCCAGATTTTCTTAATTTTGGGCAATTGGCGAATACTTGCATGTGAAACTGATGTTATCCATTAAACTAATTTACATTTTCCAGCTATTTTCTCATTGCACTACAAGAGGACCTAAAAGTCAGGACACTTTATTAGTGTTTTTTGTGATTATCCTCTCCTGACCTCAAATCTTGTGATTCTGAAAAGCAAAATGCTGCTGTGCATTTCAGTTTTGGTGAGAGGCTTTGTTTTTAAGATGAGAACATTTGGAGGAACTGAATAGTTTTTTAGTTACTTTAGTAGTATGAACATTAATGCTCTAAACTTTTCATTTTTATTTGAGAACATTACCTTGTGTGTAATTTCGGCATTGTTGTAAAATAAGACGAAAACATTGATTTTCTGACACCTGACTGTGTCGATTATTTAAAAAGTAAAATTTCTATCGACCAAACAGATATTTAAAATATCTGTAATCCCTCTGAAAACAGCAGTCGGTGCACCAGTAAATGAAACCTTTTTTCATTTACCTTTTTTGCCTTGTTGTCAAACAAGTTTTCATTGACCTGAACCGTCTCTGCACATTTGCATGTGCAATTTTCAGCCTGTCAGCTATTCCTCCTTCCTGTCTTCCTGTTAGCAGTCATTACCTTGACAGTGAGGCCTGTAATCACACTGATGAGGCCTAAAGCTGTCCTGCTGAAGGACGTCCCCCTGGCCAGTCTTTGTTCTGAGACAGCTTAACGATGTAAATATACAGGAAAGTCTTTTACTATTTCAGGGCTTCGCCACTGACTTTGTTAAGTTACTTTGAGTTTGGTGAGGATTGCTTATTCCTGTGGGACTCGGCCTTTATTTTTTAAAATTTGACAACCTTCCCAAGGCTTTTTGTCTGTATCTGTTGGCATGTTGCCATCATCTACAGGCCACAGGAACAGTTCAGGACCGTCAGTAAGAGTTTTCGCACATTACAGGAAGCAAATCCGAGAAATGTTCAATCCTACTAACTTCTGCGTAATCCCTTAAAAATGTAAAGTTCTGTTTATGTTATATCTTAAGCTCAGATCTAAAGGTGCATTACAGATTAAAATAGTGACAGAAACCACTCTGAGAGAGATTTATCAGCCTTCCTTCCTTCCTAAAAAATCTCAGAACATTTTGAAGACACCTCTTCAAGGGTTTTCCTGATGCAGCGTTTTTGGATGAGGATATCATTAAAGCAGCCCTTGTTCTCAGATAATCAGTGCTTCTGTTATTCTGTTTGATTAGCGCTGATCAAATATGTACATTTATGATTACTTTAAAGAGATGAATGAATCCTCCTCTGTCAAATTTTCCTCAGATCCATGAAACTATTGAGACCATCAACCAGCTGAAAACCCAGAGGGAGTTCATGTTGAGCTTTGCCAGGGATCCTCAGGGCTTTATCAACGACTGGCTTCAGTCCCAATGCAGGGACTTCAAGGTGAGTTTGTGTGTCCTGACCTCAGACTGGCCCGCTTATCTGTGCTCCAATGTTACAGCGAATACCACGTAAGTTTAGCTACAGAATTCATCCCTCGACTCTCTTTGGTTATTTTCCACAGAGGATATGACACATGATTGAATTCAGAAAAATATTTCTCTCTTCTGATGTTCTGAAGCATAGATATTGGTTATAATGTCAGGTTTTCAGATGGGTCCAGACTGAGTAAGCCCTTCTGTGGGATTGTACTATTCAGAATAAATTCCCTAAGGGCTCAAAAAGATGAAAACGCATCACTGCCCATTTCTGCACACAGGATGCTCTTAAAACATCAGAATGCATCATCAAAGTAAATTGACGTGACTCGTTGTTTTTCACCAATTACTGACTTTTTTTTTTTTTCTTGACAGAACATACTTTTGCATTTACACGTCTTCAAATAATCCTTATTTCTGTATGAAAATATTCCATCTTTATTTAGTGTTGTTTTTCTTGGCAGATTTCAGAAATTGTTGCAACCTTAAAAAAGTCAAAACCTGCTCAGGAGGGTTCAGAGGCCAAACACCATGAACATTTATCATCTCTTTAAATTCAGTATCCCAGAAATGAACTGCATTCAGTTCCTATTAATCGGAACATTGATAAATGATGTTGAGTTGCTTGATAATTTTGATGATGGTATTTTACATAATCTAATATTCAGATTATGGTAACATCATGCAATCACTAGTGGTGACTGTATGATGTTTATATGGTGTAAAGCATGTTAAACTGCTTTGTTGCTGAAATGTTATGTTGCAGCACACGAGGGCGATGCCGATTTAAAATAATATGAAACCAGTCCTTCTAACAGAGACCATGTGAATCCTCGTCAGTTATATAAATATATAATTTTTGAGTTTTTTTGTTTCCAGACTATTACAGATGTTGTAGGAAACCCAGAAGAGGAGCGGAGAGCAGAGTTTTACTACCAGCCGTGGGCTCAGGAGGCGGTGTGTCGCTACTTCTACTCCAAGGTAATGTTTTAACAGATTTATTTACACTGACCCTAAATACTTTAATGCATTCCTTCTGGTGATTTATTATTTTTTTTCTGGATTTAAAATCTTCTTTCAGGTCCAGCAGAGGAGGCAGGAGTTGGAACAGGCGCTTGGAATCAGGAACACTTGAAGAGGTTTTTCCCCATGAAACATCCCGACAGGAAAGAGATGGGCCAAGTTGTGCTGTTGGAGTTGATTAGTGTGTGTGTGTGTGTGGGTGTGGTGTGTGTGTGGTGGGGGGGGGGGTGTTCAAACTGAAGTCTGCAAATTTTTCGTTAAAACTGAAAGAATGAATATCAAATGACTTTACTGTTAAATATGATGTTACTTTGTAATATTTTTTTATTCAGTTTAACAATTAGGTTAGTTTCTGCTTTAGGTTTTATGTAAAGTGTTTTTTTTTTCCTTACCACATTTCATTTTTCTGCTGCTTGGTTAGCTTTACACATTCCTTTTGTATTTGGTATACTGACACAAACGCAGAGAGATGTTGAATTGTCCTTGGAAATTTCAAATGTAATATTTCCCTGGAAAAAATGTTGCGCATGCTTTTGCGCCTTTGCTTTGTTGTATTGAGACTAAAATGACCTTTTGCGCTCCCTACCAGCCTTCAGGTTTTCACCCCAGGAGGTAAATATTGATCGTGACTGTTTGTGATCAGTTTGGCTTTTTTGCTGCATATTGACCGTTTGTGTGTCACTTGGATTTTAGCTGTGTTGGTCTGTTTTGACAGCGCCACAGTCTGTGTGAGGCATTTTACGGCTCAGTGAATTGTGGGAGAACACTGTTGCATTACGACGGTTCTCTTTCTTTCTTTCTTTCTTTTTTTTTTTTCAATGTTTCCTTTTAATATGAAGTTTAGTCATTTTTTTGTTATTAGTGATTCTTGTTTTAAAAATATGTATTACATCCATGCTTGTCTTGTTAGATAGTACAGATAATCATGAAAGTAGATAGTATGGGTACCTCTAGTTATTTAGTTTTGTAAATACTGAGCAAAAATAAAAATTTCAGATGAATATGAAGTTAACCTCTAAGTTTTTGTCTACTCTGATTGTTGCCACAATATTTATATTAATTGGCCCAACTTTCTGAGCAGTTATTTGACTCTGTTGCTCAAATTCACTGAACCACCTCTCTTAACAGCAACATGCTTTCAAAATTATGTTGCTTGTCAAATTAACTTCACATAATTCACTAATACAAAGAGAAACAGTGACTGAGGCTGATGAGAAGCAATCTAATTTCTCTCTGCAAATCGGGTTGTTTTCCCTGTCGCAGGTTAAGAAGAGTGTTGGGAACAAATTGTGAGTTTTATTAATTCAAAGAATACACTAATGTGGGTATGGGGCGGTGTGTGAGTTGGCCTCTGAGATGTGAAAACACTGAGTGGATAGTAGAGCTGTGTGAATCTGCAAACTTTTTTTCATGGACCAAACCTATTTTCTGTATGTTACTGTTATAATAAAGGATATGTAAAAAGTCTTTGTCTCCTCTTGTTTTAAATAATTGTATCCACGATCTGGTTCTTTCGGTCTCCTTGGGCTGCCTCCTTATCGTGGTGGAGGGTTTTGAGTGCCCCAGGCAGCATGGCTGGCATGATGGCGAGTGCCTGGTGGCCGGACTTTTACCCATGGAGCCCAGCCGGGCTCAGCTTGAAGAGGAGACATGGTCCCCCCTCCCAAGGGCCCATCACCTTCGAAAGGCCAAAGGGGTCGAGTGCAATGTGATGAGTGGCGGCCAAGGGAGGGGGCCCTGGCGGTCCGATCCGGGGTTGTAGAAGCTGTAGAAGGCTCTTGAGACGTGGAATGTCATTTCTTTTTCTTCTTTTTTAGAATGTCAATGGATCTTAATAAATAGAAACATCCTTTATTCTCCCGCAGTGTTGGATGCTATCTGGTCAAATACTGTGCATTAGTTCATAGTGGAAAAGAAGTTCAAAGTTGGCTAACTGTGTCTTAAATCACGCTAAGCATGGTTGATATAAAATAGGCCTTTAAATTTGTTCAGTTAAATCTTTGTCATATTCTATTTGTAGAAACATGACTGCGTGAGCACTCTTAACAACAAACTGTCTTTGTCAAATTTCTGTGGTGACCATGCCAACAGAATTTCGGCAGTTGAATGAGTCGGAACATTCGAGAAGGTACCGGTACTTTAACCGCTGGAAAACTTCAGTCTTTTGTATCTGTGTGTTTGGAAGAGGCGCGTTTTATCTTTGATAAGATGTAGAGCAGTGAACTTAATCTTCGAGTGTCGCATTGAGATTAATGTTTGAGCTATAATGCTTCTTTTTTTCTCCAGGTACAAAAATCTCTTTTTCTAGTTCACTGTTAACTCTCAACCTGAACTTATTCCTTCTGTTGTATACAAGTTACAATCTATTTATAAAAAAACATCTTAAGAGTTTATTAGTTGTTTGCTAGCCAGCTAGCAACATACAGACATACTATATAGACTACTAGATGTGTACATATATTGTATTTAGTGACTTTATGTAGTAACTATATCTGACTGCATAGTCAAAACTATTTGAAATGTATAAAAAACATAAAACTACAATGAGAGAGATGTGAAAATTCCAGCAAGGATATAAACGCTTTTGTTTGAGAGCTCTGAAGTTCAGACAGGAATTTAAAATCACTGATCTAATGAAATGATGCACCATAATTAGTCATTGCATTTTCAGATTATTGCATAATCTTCCCACTGCACTTCAACAATTGCAGTGATGTGGGAAAGTGAGCCCTGGTCTGTTTTATTCAATTTTCAAAGAAATGTTCATTGACAACATGTGTAATGCATGCTTAAAAATTAGCAAATTAACAAAGGATGAACAAAAAAAAAATCCAACAAAGATCTGAGAGATACATCATCCTCTGGTTGATCATCTACTTTGTGCTTGAATAACTCCTATCTGAGAAATGGAAGACATATAAAATAGCATTTTAATAAATGGAAGAAATCCTCAGTCCATTTAAACAAACCTTGTTCAGCACCACTAATGTTAAAATAAATACTTTTTTAAAATAAATGTCTTTAAGGACCACCATTGTATTTACATTTTTAGATTTTAAGAATAAGGGGGAAAAAATAAAATATGAAAGAGGAATATGTTTTCTTCTTTGCAATGTTACTTCTGGAAAATATGGAAAAAAAATATATTTTCAACTTAAAGACCAGACAAAAGGCAATTTTTAAGCAAAATGTATGTAGCTGTTATTATATCCATAGTCTTTGGAGTTTGCAGACCACTGCGTCAGAGTTTGGTTTAAACATTTACTGTGTAAAATTGCCTGAGCTTCAAAGTGGAATTAAACAAGTAGAAAGATTTTATTATTTCTTTTATCTTGTTTTAAATCACTATCCTCTTAAAAATCCAACTTGCTTGGTCAATGTTCCAGGATCCCAACATGTCTCCCGGGCTCCAATAAATTTCCAAACTGTGGTTTAAAATTTAATGGTGCGCCTGCAATTTTTCTCTTTTTGCTTTAAGTGGTAACTAGTTATAATGGGTTGGTGAAAGATAGACTATCCGTCTCAGCTGTATGGTTTATTTTTACTCCAATGTGATTCAGTCACATCTGAAGTGTTGTAATCATTCCCTGCAGATCTTCAAAAGCATCAAAGCCTTTGACTATAAATAAATGGGCTGTTCTGCATCTGGATCTCTAGACTGACGCTGCTGTTCCAGTGCAGAGCCATGACAGGCGACAGATCAGACCAACCATAAGGAGGGGGAGTGTCTGGTATGAACCCAGTGTTCTCTGGAGCCCAGTCTGTCCTCACAGCAACTGCTGCAGGTCTCTCTCTGTGGGAACCCTTGGCACACGATGGCAGCTCCAAAGAAAGCCTGTGTGATCGGCTCCGGTAACTGGTGAGTGGGAGCATTCAGCGCTGCTTTAGTGCAAAATGTAAAGCTTAAACGCGGCAGGCTGCAGGTGGTGGCTGTTGCTTCAGCACACAGTGAAACTTCAGGTGGAAACACTAAAAATGGGAGAACTTGTGCAACTTTAAGAGCTGATAAATCATTAATAAAGTTCATAAACCCACCTGCCTTTTTCAAGGCTGCAGACTGGACGTTCTCTGAGACTGCTGCTGAGTCAAAGACTCCCCAACTATAAAATATTTATTAAAGAAGCCTCTTTATTAGTCTGCAGAGCATGCTGAATCAGCCGTCTAGTGCTGCTAATGTCCCTCAGCCTGTGTGACATTTAGTCAGAGCTGGATGCAACTCTGGAGCTACTTCTTCATTACAGTTGAAGGTTAAATCACTGGGTAGATATTTCATTTTTTAGAACTTCTTTTTTCTTAAAGCAAAACCTCAGATATCTATACCATTTAAATTATTAAGATAATAAAAATTTGATATTGTAGTACATAAAACTGTTCTTTTTCATAATTAGTAGTCTCTCTGTAACCACTTCAAGGATACCTAATTATGATGTATAATTATTATAGTAGACTTTGTTAAATGGTAACTCATTTGAAGTCAAAATGTTATCATTCATTAATAATTACCTCAAGACTCAGCTCATTTTTTGAAAGAAAAATAAAAATAAAAAAAACATTTAAAGCTTTTAAATTAAAGTTACTTAGTTTTTTATTTCACCACATGAAAATAAAGAGGCAATTATAGTTGTAAATTGTGTATTTGTATCTTGGGCAGTTCTTCAAGTGAGTGTTGTTTGATGGTTGGAAGCGGAAATACGTTTTTTGAAATGTTTCCCTCTCGCCTGACCTCACCAAAATGTACCTTGTGTTGTCTAATGTAAACATATGTCTACATTTACACTGTTTTAAATGTTAAAAAATCAAAACGACAATGGAATTTCATTTCCCATCAGTTCACACTGAAAGTGAAAAGGGGAAAAAGCCAGTTAGGGACTCATTTTGTTTCAGAAGAACGAAGTCCGCTCTCTGGGCTTTTATGAAAGCAAACAGTGACAACCGCTTCCACAGAGAAGAAACACGTGACATGATGCAGAATAAACATGCATGTGTAGTTTGACCAAGGTCTGAAGTGAAAATTCACTTTTAATTGATACTTTATATTTTATATTGTTTGTTAACTTTGGACATTTTCATTTAAATGTATTACATTATGAGTTATTTGCTGGTCTGCATTGTGGGGCTTTTGGTAGCACTGCTGCCTGCATGGAGTGTGCATGTTCTCCATGTGTATGCAGAAACTCTTCTGCAAACACCTGCTTTCTACCACAACATCACTTTAGGTTGTTAGGTTAACTGAAAATAACGCGCCCTTTGGTACACTTTTAAAAAAATCCATTAAATGTACCGTAGAAATGTAAAGGAACTTTCTGCTAAGACTTTTAGCAATTTTTCCCCTGTATTTTCTACTTCAATGTTTATGAGATGTTCTGTAAAAATAGGAAAAATTTTAGTTGCACTATCACCCTGAAAACATTTAGATGTAAGTCCATGAGGACACTGGTGTACTGATGACAATTAAAGGGTTTTAAATAACAGAAAAGTTTGTGTATGTACTCAGAGATATACTGTAAAAATATCAGTTTTGGATTAACAGAAATGTGCATAAATTAAACATGATGAACGCTAAAAATACATTTTAGAGTCGATGGAAATTTTGGCACAATTAACAAAAAATGTCCTTTGTAATTTTTGCACTATGACCGCTGGAACCAGGCACCTGACCCTGTAAAGATAAACAGATTTAAAAAATAGATGGATGAATGTATATTCTGCTTTTGAAAGCCAATTTTAAGTTGAAACTGTTTAAACTCCTAAATGTAACTGCATAAAATCTCACTATTACAAATATACAACCCAAAGTAATTTACTGAATCGAAGTGAGGTGTTTTGTCTTTTATTTGTACTCCTCATACAATAATTATTGACAGTTTATTCATACAAAAGCAATAAAATTCCATCAACAACATGATAATAGTGTCTTTTCATGTCAATAGGGGCTCTGCCATCGCCAAGATCGTTGGAGCCAACGCGGCCAAATATGACAAGTTTGACTCCACAGTGAACATGTGGGTGTTTGAGGAGATGGTGAACGGCCGAAAGCTTTCAGAAATCATCAACACAGACCATGAAAATGTGAAGTACCTGCCTGGTCATAAGCTGCCTCATAATGTGGTGAGCATGACAGCCCACTGGCTAACGATGGGGACCTCGTCACAGGGATTTCTACATTTGGCTGCACTGTACAGCTGAAATTCCCTGTCTCTCCTTTACCAGGTGGCCGTTCCAGACTTGGCTGAATCTGTGAAAGGAGCCGATATCCTGATTTTCGTGGTGCCTCACCAGTTTATTGTAAAAGTGTGCGACACCATCAAAGATCACATAAAAAAGGATTCTATTGGAATTTCTCTCATCAAGGTCTGTCAAACCTTTGAGAGCAAAAGTTTTCACAGACGGGAACTCGTAAGGCTTGGTGCGCCTTTTCCTGCTTCCGTTCTGAATGACACAGAGAAGAGATTGTTCTTTTAAATTA